TTTGCTGGCGGCGCATTTCAGAGAGCAACCTCTCTGTGGTCTCTAATTTTTCTTGGTAAAGCTGCGCGTTTTCCTGTGATTGAGTCAATTGCTGTTTGCAGTCTTTCAGTTGATGCTGAAGAGTTAAGATGGTCGACTGCATACCTTCTACTTCCTCGTCCAGCTGAATAACGAAGTCGTTCAACTCTGAAACGGGACAACCAGATTATTATGAAAATCCTTATCACAAGTGGATACAAAGTTTGCTAAAAAGTACTTACAGAGTGAGACCCAGTTAGTTAAAATTATTAGGGCTTGGAGTAATGCCAGATTCTCTGAATGAGATCTCGCAGATTATCCCAACCAGTTTGACATGTTTCCAGAACAACTGTCCGGTCCTCTTCATTATTTTACCTCAGTTAAAATATCAACCCTCTTGAAGCAGCCTTACATGTACTGTTAAGAGTTTTGAGAGTTTTCAGCAGTGGGATGCAAATGCTAAACGTTTGAAAAAGATGATCCCTCGCGAGACACTAAATAAAGAAAGCAGTTGTACACCATGATCACAACAAAAGTGCCTTTAAATCTGAAACGAAGACTGCATACTTATTTACTCCCACCCACTCGGGTCACCCTACAGATAAACGGCAACACACAGTCAATGCCTAACTTCTGGTTGTACGTACCGTCCTGACTGCCTTTCAGCTCGTCACTGTATTTTTTCTGAAGAGCAAGTTCAGCCTCCAGCTGCGCTACTCGTCCCTGAGATAACTGACGACCGAGCTCTTGATTCTCCTGAATCAACATGCGGCACTTAGCCATCAGTTTCTTCCCAGTAACACTGTAACAAAAGACGACGCAAATTAAAACGATTGTTTTTTTCACTTTCTACAGTGCACTGCAGTCAGGGGAACAAGTGCTGTTTTCGACAAATCTTCGCAGACGTTCGTTTGTATCCAAAGACATTCCGATTCATATNTGCAGTCTTTCAGTTGATGCTGAAGAGTTAAGATGGTCGACTGCATACCTTCTACTTCCTCGTCCAGCTGGATAACGAAGTCGTTCAACTCTGAAATGGGACGCCCAGAATATTATGAAAATCCTTAACACAAGTGGATACAAAGTTTGCTAAAAAGTACTTACAGAGTGGCAACAACAACAACAACAACCATTTATTTGTACTCACAATTTATAAAATAATTACAATAACCATTAAATTAGTATAGAGTACTGCCTGCCCAAAATAACCATAAGGGCTAAAAAGAATGGGCAGACATGAGACCCAATAAATTAAATTATCAGGGCTTGGAGTAATGCCAGATTCCCTGAATGAGATCTCGCAGATTATCCCAAACAGCTTGACATGCTTCCAGGACAACTGTCCGGTCCTATTCATTATTTTACCTCAGTTAAAATATCAACCCTCTTGAAGCAGCCTTACTGTTAAGAGTTTTGAGAGTTTTCAGCAGTGGCATGCAAATGCTAAACGTTTGAAAAAGATGATCCCTCGCGAGACACTAAATAAAGAACGCAGTTGTACACCATGATCACAACAACAGTGCCTTTAAATCTGAAACGAAGACTGCATACTTATGTACTCCTCCCCTCCCCTCCCGCACGGGTCACCCTACAGATAAACGGCAACACACAGTCAATGCCTAACTCCTGGTTGTACGTACCGTCCTGACTGCCTTTCAGCTCGTCACTGTATTTTTTCTGAAGAGCAAGTTCAGCCTCCAGCTGCGCTACTCGTCCCTGAGATAACTGACGACCGAGCTCTTGATTCTCCTGAATCAACATGCGGCACTTAGCCATCAGTTTCTTCCCAGTAACACTGTAACAAAAGACGACGCAAATTAAAACGATTGTTTTTTTCACTTTCTACAGTGCACTGCAGTCAGGGGAACAAGTGCTGTTTTCG